TTAACTAGTAAATAATAATGATAGTGCGCAATTCGATCGGTCTGATCTATCAACGATCTTGCCTCGGGCTGGAGCAGAAGGTGCCTGAAACGGAGGAAAAAGCGAGTAATCACCGGGGAAAAACCCGGTGAGAATGCTCCGAAGCTTAAGTTAGTATTTCCTCAAAGGCAAGATAAAACCAGATGGCGCAAAGTTATCACATACCTCTCTTCTTGGGGGGAAGGGGGCCTTTTATAACCACTTCGCGCACTCACTCCCAAGCTTCTGTCAGGTCGGGTATGATTACCTCTGCGCTCTTGCCAGTTTGGGTGTCACCACCTTTGCTGGGGCAGGACCGCCACTGCTCTCTTTGTCAGAGCCGTTTCTGTAACTGGAGATGGCGGTGGCAGGTGGCCGTTGAAGTGCGGCTGTCAAGCGTCAGATCCCAAGTCAGTCAGGTGCGCTGCCTCATGATACGAACTCCTTCGGTGTCAGGTACGGTACGGTTGTTCAGTTCGGCGTCTTGGGGGCGAAGTGCTGGAGTGGTGTGCGAGGTGAAGTCTTGAGTTCGGATAGAGGTGTGGCCCGAACTGCCATGGGGCGGGCCAGTTTGGGTAGTTGCCCTTTGTGTTCGTAAGGCTCGGGGTCTAAGGGAGAGCTTGGGCTCCTTGTGGGGAGTTCGGACCATGGGTTCCTCTTTTCGGAGCTCGCGCCTTGGGCGTATTGTTGTGCCGAGCTGTTGCCTTTGCCACGTGTTGAGTGGTTACGAGGTCGGGCCAAATCTTCCTTCATCAATTGCCCCCCACTCCTCGCGCAAAGGGACTTGCCCTGGCGCGGGGAGTTCGCGAGGTGGCGGGTGGATTTGACCCGTACTTCGAACTGGTCTGACTGATAGCGAGAAGTGTGCATTCGTCAGGATTTTTCTGGGTTTCTCAAGCGCCAGAAAAGTCGGGAAACACACTAGTCCGTCTATAAATGCTGACAGACGTGACAAACGCGCCATTGGAAGACGTGACAGCGGGCGTCTTTTCAAATTTGAAAAAACGCGCCGCTGCCGCCTTTAACGCGGGGAGACGTGTGCTGGCGCTCTTTCAGTTTCAAAAGACGTGTGGCCAGTCATGTCTCGGTCTCAGGAGACGTGCGGTCAGCGCGACTGCGAGCCGTTGGATTTGCTTTGATTAGAACCGTTGATTTTCAGTTACTGTGGGTATAAATAGTGGGGGACCCCAGTCGCTTTGTCATTCTCCTACGTTTTGCTTCTTGAGCTCGCGTTCAAGTTCCCGTAGTCCATTTGCTTTTTTCCGGGTGAGTACTTTCCTGGAATCCTTCTCCTCCCGATGTCTAGCTCGGATAGCTCAAACAGTTCTTCAAGGGGGTCAGATGTAGGTTCTACGAACCGAGCTGCATTCCCCGACAGCCCTAGTGAACCCGAGGTAGAGCTCGAGGAAGAGTTCGA